TATATTAGTGTATGTATGTATATATAGTAATATATACATCGTTATGGTGTACCTCTAGAAATCGCGCAACCATTGATAGCCCAGAGTCGACGAATAGTGCACCCACTACCGCTGTAGCACAGGACCCCAATGTTGAGCACGTTTAGCTTCGTTGCAGATTGTCATTGTGTTATATTAACGGTTTGCTACGGATTGTCATTGCTTCATGTTAACATTTTGCTAGAGATTGTTAACGATACGTACGGATTGACATTGCGTCATGATATCATTTTGTTGTGGATTGTCAATACGTCATGTTAACGTCTTGTTGCGGATTGTCACTGTGTCACAGTAAAATTCCGCTCCAAATGGTAAATTTTCACTGCAAATGATTGCGTGATGTCGCCGTTTCATTTCAGGTGGATGCGTCGCAGTAATATTCCAACAACAAATGTTTCCGTCTTAGACTCTTAGTAGAGCCCTGTGAAGTCTGACACGCCCCCCCCCCCACCAGGGTATTTGTAGCATAGTGGTTTCTTGATATATCAGGGACATGCGTTTTGACAGAATACTTCAATTGAATACAGAATCAACACCCGAAGATAATCGAGCGAAAGAATCCCTCAGGTAATAGCTCAGAGATCGTTGGTGTATTCAACGTTTTAACATTTTAGGATTTAGGGAGTGAAATCAATTGAGGCGCCGTTGAGGTGAATGCAGCAAGTACGTACATGTGTAGATGGACAGAGACACCACTACATCTGGTCAGATGGTTATGTGGAGACAACAACTCATGAGCTACTACTGGTTTGCTCTCCCATAATGTGGAAGTGCACCATACTGCGTGCATGGCTCGCGTGCGTATGCTGTTTCTGGTATAGAGGTTCAGGGGGTAGTTAACCTCTATCTTACATGTAGACGCGTGTTTAGTTGCGATCGTTTGCGTGTATTGGTCAATGGTGTGCTTCCCATAAAGTGTATGCGCATTTGCTTGCTCGTGCAAAAGCAAAAACCCCAGCTATGAATCGAACAGACCGCAACGTACGAAGCCACATACATTACACTACTTCTATAGAAAACATGGGCTCTACAACCTTCGAGGATACCGTTGTTGATGACTGCGAGTGGCATGACGTACCTCTGAGTTGATTGCTGCGCTTGATCCGCTGTAACATAGATACAACCCATAAAAGAAACATCAGCTCGCCACACACGAGAACAGCTTGTATATACTCCAGACCTCGATTTCAGTACCCAGCTATCTACACGCCAAACTTCCACTAGAAACATGGACAATTAAATCATTATACACTAAGCTGTATCCGTGAACATACAGATACGTATGTTCAAGAGCAGCATATGGGTCTGTATGCGTTTGCATATGTGCGCCAATGCGTATGTGCTACTGTGCAAGGTGATAGTCTCTGTTGAGATATACACACGTATGTGAGCACACCTCGCTGTTGCGTCCAGACTGGTGTGTATGCCCTGTCTTCAGCTGCATCTGGGTCGCAACCCATGCGAGGTGGTCGTCTCCAAGTATGATATCACTCAGAGTCTAGGGTAGAAATTGATTGGGAATTGAGTTCGCCTGCATAAACATTTGTGCTATAGCTATGTATATGTCTTGTGATGAATGCTATTGGTATGTAAATGTATGTGTTGTATGTTATTGATATGTATATTTCATGCGTTGTATTTTATTGCTATGTATATGTGCGTTTTGTATGCTAGAGCTATATACATGTATATTTATGCCTTTGACATGCATATGTATGTTTTATATGCGATAACTGCGTATATGTACAACTATGTAGATATACATTTTGTATGCTTTTGACATGTATATATATATGTTTTATATGCTATAACTAAGTATATGTATGTTTTGTATGCTAGAGCTATATACATGTATATTTATGCCTTTGACATGCATATGTATGTTTTATATGCGATAACTGCGTATATGTACAACTATGTAGATATACATTTTGTATGCTTTTGACATGTATATATATGTGTTTTGTATGCTATAACTAAGTATATGTATGTTTTGTATGCTACAGCTATGTACATGTATATTTTGTATGCTTTTGACATGTATATGTATGTTTTATCTGCTATAACTAAATATATGTATGTTTTGTATGCTATAACTATATTTATGTATGTATATTACTATGTATATGTAAGGTTTGTATACTAGAACTTGTATGTGTATGTATATCTTTCTCTCATCACATTCGATATAGCTGAGACAAAAAATTGTCTCGCCACATAGTCTTGGTGCGCATTTAGGATATGCGTGCGTTAACACGCTGAGTTCTGTGTATAGTCCACCCACCTAGTCTGTATACCATTGTGTGTGTGTAGTCTACATGTCATTGTGTGTTTGTGTCCTGCGTGTGTCTGTCGAGGAGTCTGTGTGAAGCGGTCTGTGGATACTCCACCAGCGTGTCTATATTTATATGTTTCCAGTATTTGGACTTCTACGCTCTATACATGTCTGAGCACGCATGCATGAGTTTAACAAAATACACATATACACATCCATACACACGTTGTGAATTAGACCCATAGACATATACATGCCTTTTACAGCTGTATATAGATAGCCCCAGGGACAAAGCAGCCCCAACGTCGGAGGTGAATCCTACAGAACTAGTTCACACTCAAACAAGCGCACATTGACTGATCCTGACCAATGGAGCAGTATTGATATCAGTCCTCATGCGTATGTTGCATGCCTCGCACGCACACGCACATCATGTGAAGACACTCTCAACACGAATGGAATATAGGTATTATTCTGGTTCAAGTGGTTACAGGCAGACCTACCAATAAACCTTTAGCGTTCAGTTGAGCGTGTGCTTGCCGAAGATAAGTTATGAACAATAAATCCAGCGTAGGCCGCCCTACAAAAGCGAACTGCAGATGGGAAGTCGTCCTGTCCACATGGTGAGCACCTGCAGGAGGGCGCATTCGATTGGTAGTGGATTCCAGCTGAAGTCACATCAGACATTGTGTGCGTTGTCGGCAACGACAGACGGAGATAATCCGCAACCCACATACTTCCATGTGGCAAAGTTTTGACACCCGGATCCAAAAGTAATGAATGTACGCGTGTGATACATCAACGGATCGCCTCAACCTGCGTCCTGCTAAACCTACTACTCACCGTCCTGTTTCAGCGCCAAGTCAAGAAGTTCGGACCTTTTGAAGCCCAAATTTTCAGCTAGTTCTGAGACTCTGTTGTCAATTCCCTTGGTCCGGTCAATGCATTCGACACGCTGTGAGGGGCTTATGAACACTGAATTGACCAAAATATCACGGATGATCAGATATTGTAGAAACGGTGAGACGCCACATAGGGACGTAGGTGAATGAGTCACATAATATATTCATGGGAGATTGGTATTAGAATGATATCTGCTAAGCAATACATATTCTGTGCCGTGTGATCACACTTACAAATATTCACAAATGCAGATACACGTATATACATACTTATACTTATATACCTATACAACTGTTGTAGTTATGCACCTATACAAATGTTGTAGTGATATACCTATACAACTGTTGTAGTTATATACCTATACAACTGTTGTAGGTATATACCTATAAAACTGTTGTAACTAGGTACATATACAACTGTTGTAGTTATTTACTTATACAACTGTTGTAATTATGTACCTATACAACTGTTGTAGTTATTTACCTATACAACTGTTGTAGACGTTCAACAGCAAGATAATCTACATGTGAGAACAACCACTAATTACATATCGTCAGTCTGTACACCCCAGTCCACAAACAAGCCCACTGGCCGTACAGATCCTTTACTCGGATATGGAGAGGAGTATTGACTATCCTACCTGACCCATATACATGATTATGCGTCGAATGATAGCTATTTGACATACATACATGAATTAGAATGTAGGTGGCATACTCACGTCCATGAGCGCTTATGTACACATCGTCCTCCATCCGCGTCTCTGAATCTCGCACAGGAACATATCTGTGCTGTATTCACTCACATAGGCAGGTTGTAACCTAACTACATACTCGACATCAACGCAAATTATGTGAGCTCGCACAGTATCATATCTGTGCTGTATATACACACATAGGCACGTTGTAACCCAACTACATACTCGGCATCAACGCAAACTATGTAAACTTACGCACTCTCAACTCCTCCTCGTCTACTAGGCACCACTCCGCAAATACGCGAGCGCACTGATTGATGTCACATGACTGGAATAGCAGACCCACAATGGCCTGTAACGTGTCCGCTAGAATGCGGTCTTGCAGAGCTGCACACTGCCAGTAGGCAACCGGACCCATGTACCAATCACTCCCCACCAACCGCTGTGAGGAGGATGCCAAGTCAAAACATGACAATGCAATTGAGTTGAACTATTTGACAATCCTTGTGAGGTGATAGCCATACGCACCAATGTAGAAATACACATAGAGTATGTATTCTGTTGTGGCAGGCGTACGCGTGTACATACATACACAGCAATACGCTCATCGGTTGGAGGATGAATCTATTCAACGATAGAGCAGTCTGGTTCTTGCTTGGAGCGTGCACACCGTCAGAATGAATCCAAACATACACACGCACCGCAACCACCATACCACAGATACACGTTATACAATGCCGTGGATCAGCACATGAACGGTGGATGATGTAACATCTCCGTCCAGTGTGTACACATAGTACCAGAGTCATCCAGTGTATGCACATAGTATCAGGGTATACACCCATCACTTACCCGACAGGCGCGCGCCAGAAATGGCGTGTCCAAAAGAGTGTCCACGTGCCTTCGCAGGCGCTTCTCATCGCAACATCGCCTGAGTTTGAACCACACATCGCGCTTTACGATAAACAACAGTAAAGCAGACCCAGTCACAGTCAGTTCACTGTTGTCCCCCACGCAGTCACACACGTCTACACTCGCCGTCGGTGACGTTCGGGGTCTGTCCGTGTTGAGCGAGGCAGCGATGCGGGGCGTATGTGTGCGTGTGTGTGCCAGTGTGTGTGTGTGTGTGCGTGTGTATGTGTGTGAATATGTGTGTGCCTCTGCTGGGTGGGCACTTGGTTGTGGTTGGTGTAGATTGTGCGTGTGTGTTTGTGTTTGTTGTCGTTGTGCTGTGTGCGTGTGTGCTTGATTGGTGTGTACACGCGTCTCTTGTGATGCGTCTGTTTCCCTGTGAGTGGCTGTTTGTTGTGGTGTGGTATCATTTTGGTGTATGGTTTTGAGTTGTGCTGTGATAGTATTCGGATCACATCCCGAGCGCTTCCGTTGCGGCTGCGCCACTGATGGTGTGTGTGCGTGAGTGTGCGCCTGTATGTGTGCGTGTTCTTGTGTGGGTGTATGCATGTGCTTGTGTGTATGTTGTATTTGTGCGTGTGTGTGTGCATGTGTCTTTGTATGCATGTGTGCGAGTGGTTGTGGCATGCGTCGGCACGTGTTGGTGGCTGTGTTGTAGACGTGCTGTGGGGTAGTGCCGCAGACCATCCGTTCCATGCAACTGGGGTGTGCCAAGGGCCGCTGTGAGTATGTACCAGAATTGCATGAGCAAATTAGTACGAGTGTTGCGTTTTTAGACTCGTCGGAATGAGATGATAGTAAGATCGGTTGGTATGTTGTATGTTCACGCACGAGCTAATGAACACACTGCCTGCCCAGCTAGGTAGAGTGCATATATGAAAGGCGTCTAGATACATCGCCATAGATGGAATCGACAGTGTATACACTGAAAGACGTAGAGAAGGGCACACATGGTAAACGATACCACACACACACACACATACGATCTCACGATCTCACGATCTCACTCACGCACTCACACTCACACTTGCGTAAGATATACGTCTATGCAGTGGGGACACAATGTAAACGCACAAGCGTAGGCTACACATACAGCGCAATTTCAGTAACACGTTAAACCCTGGAGATATCAATACCTAATACAAATTAATACCTCGAGAGAAGCAATGGATAAATGCGTCAGATTCAGCCGTTGACGCAGAATGCGTGAGTACTTCCTTCTGCGCAGTCGTTGGTGGATGCCCGGCACAAGCAGAGCCAGCTGTGGCACAGCAGGGACCAGGAAGAGAGTACATACATGCTCAGTGCATACACGTGTGGGCAGTGGATATAAATGGCCTTGTAGAAGTGTATGAGAGGTTGAGAGAATATATGTGGCATAATGTTATCATATATATTTGCAATGATCACAAACT